CCTTCCACCAAAACTGGCGGCTAAGATCATGGTACATCTTCGTACCTCCCAGATGCACCGCAAAGCATGAGTGATGAAACTCACAGAGTACCTCCTCTTGGAAAAACTTTGGCACAAAAAGTCGGTCAACATATCTAATACTTGAATCAGAATGCACATTTAGACCCCTCTCCACTTTACCACTAGCAATCTTCTCCTGGATGGTCTCAACCTCCGGATCACCCCATGTGCCTCAATAACTCAGCTCACTAGTGTAGGCTGTGCAACTACAATAAACAAGGTAGTCAACTTAGCAGACTCACCAAGATGCAAGTCAAACTCGCCGATAGCACCCAACATCTCCCATTCCTAGATAACAATACAAGTTGCACTGCTAGAGGATTTCTAACTCAAAGCATCGGCTATAACATTGGCCTTCCTGGGATGATAATGTAACTCGAAGTCATAGTCCTCCATGAACTCCATCCACCTCCTCTGTCTCAGATTCAGATCCTTTTGAGAAAACAAGTACTTCATACTCTTATGATTAGAGAACACCTCGAATCTCTCGCCATATAAGTAATGCCTCCAGATCTTCAGGGCAAAGATCATTGCTGCTAACTCTAGATCATGAGTAGGCTAGTTCCTCCAGTGAATCTTTAACTGCCGTGAACCATAAGCAACTACCTTCTCCTCCTACATCAAGACACAGCCCAAACCTTCCCAAGATGCGTCACAATATACAACATAACCTAAACCCCTCTCCGGGATAATCAAAACTGGAGCAGTAGTGAGTCTAATTTTCAACTCCTGAAATGACTTCTCACAAATGTCACTCCACATAAATTTGATTCCCTTTCTCGTCAGTCTGGTCAATGGAGTGGCCAGACTAGAAAAGTCTTTCACAAAACGGCGATAATACCCAGCCAACCCCAAGAAACTCCGGATCTTAGAGGCATTCTTGGGTTGCCCCCAATCTTGCACTGTCTCTATCTTGGAGAAATCCCCAGTCACCCCTTTCCCAGATACCACATGGCCTAAGAACATCACCTCTTTCAGCCAAAACTTATACTTCCCGAACTTATCATATAATTGATGGACTCTAAGCAACTCCAACACAACCCGCAAGTGTTCCACATGCTCTTTCTCAGAGGGTGAATAAATCAGAATGTTGTCAACAAAGACAACTACAAAACGATCAAGATACTCACGAAAAACTCGATTCATCAGGTCCATAAACAAGGCCGATGCATTAGTCTATCTAAAAGGCATGACTAGGAACTCATAGTGGCCATACCGCATACGGAATGCAGTCTTCAAGATGTCCTCCTCCGTCACCCTCAACTGGTGATAACTCGATCTCTAGTCTATCTTTGAAAAGTAAGAAGACCCCTTCAACTGATCAAACAGATCATCTATACGGGGCAATGGGTACTTGTTCTTAACAGTCACCTAGTTCAGTTTTTAGTAATCAATACAAAGCCGTAATGTACCATCATTCTTTTTGGCAAAAAGGGTCAGTGCTCCCCAAGGTGAAGTACTAGGGCGGATAAAACCCTTGTCTAGAAAGTTATGGAGTTGAATCTTCAGCTCACTTAACTTAGCAGGTGCAAACCTATACGGAGCCATGGAAATCGGTGCCGTGCCCGGCACTAGGTTAATAGAGAACTCAATCTCTCGGTGAGGTGGTAAACCAGAAAGATCCTCAAGAAAGACATCCGGGTACTCACAGACTACCCTCGGTAACTCAGCTCGAAAAATATTACTCTCTGCCCCCAAGAATGTAGCAAGAAAGAGGCCAAGCTCGCCCCGACCATGCGGGTCACAAGCCGGCAACAAAGCTCTATCAATCTGATCCCCCAAGAAATAAAAGTAGTCACCGCTCAAGGTATGCACAGTAATCCTTTGAAGGTAACAGTCTATAATAGCCCGATACGCAGACAACCAATCCATACCTAGTCTAACATCAAAACTCAACATATCAAGCAAAACAAAAGAAAATGGAAGTCGACGACCGGCAACCTCTATATCACAACCCCGACATCTTTGTTCTAACACAATCTCACCCCCAACTGGTGACTCTACGCAGAGTGGCAATGTCAACTGAGCCAAGTCTGACCCCAATGCCGATGAAAATGCAGATGAGATAAAGGAATGTGATGCACCCATGTCAATCAATACATTGGCAATAAAATTATAGAACAAGAAGGTACCTCTCACAATTGAAGGTGCTGGCACTAACTCTGGCATGGTAACAGCATACACACGCCCAGTAGGTCTTTGATTCACCTGCTCCCCTTTCGAAGCATAAGCCAGATGTATAGACTGAGCCGAAGAGGCTCCCGGAGTGGCCCCTGACGCTTGTACCGATTGTACTGGCTGGTGACTCTAAGTCTGCCTTGATCCAGATACACCAGGTATGCCACCTAACTGTAAACAATGCCTCTTCATGTGTCCTGTCTGTCCACGTTGAAAGCAAGTCAAGAACTGCCCCCTCCCTTGACTCTGGCTTGGTGGACGGACTGAAGACGGAGTAGACCGCTATCCTTCCCCCTTCTGTGGGTAAGAAAAGGACTTGTGACCCAACTGGCCACACTTAAAATAAGAAAATCCTCTCTAGACACCTCTTCCTACCCCTGAACTCAGCACTGGAAAAGCGGACCTAGACTGTGTCCCATGAGACTGCTGTGGTGTAAAACCCCTCTACCTCTTGCTATGTCGAGCCTCACCATGTATCTCTTAGCCTCTCTGCCTGAAACCCCTCATCTCCCTCTTTCCAGCTCCTAACCAAGTTTCTATATGTGCCACTGCCTTAACAAGACGGTTGTAATCCCTCGTCATAGACCCGCCCACATAATAGGCAAGCTCATCTCTCAATCGAGTCTCAAACTCGATACAATGACGCTCCTCTATTGCTATATGCTTAGGAGCAAATCTGGACAAACTAGCAAAAGTGGCTTTAAACTCCGCCACTGATATGCAAACTGCTGTTTGAGGTTCTTGAACTATTCCCTCAACCTCTCTCTGACAGTAGCAGGCAGATACTTCTCTTGAAAGGCGTTGACAAATGCCTCCTAGGTTACCCCAATATGTCGTCGCGCGTATTTCCACTACTGACCCGCTTCTCTCTTCAGTTGAAAAGATGCTAACGTCACTCTCAGCTCATCATCCTCAATGTCTAGCATCTCAAATGTCTTAACTGTTTGCTCTAGCCACTCATCAGCCTTCAGTGGCTCCTTAGGATTTTCCACAAAAATATCTGAATTGGTCCAGAAGAACTCCCTTTTTAGCATGAGTGGTCTTGTCTCTACAATTGGGGCAACTGGGGCCTGTGCTAGGTTCTCATCCCTCAGTATGTTCAGTGCCCCTGCTATCTCTC